TTTGTTTCGCCGCGCTATCATCTGTCAATCTCATACATGTTAGTATTTTTTATTAATTAGATTATACTCTTCTAGATCTAAATTTAGAAGAATAGTGCTATCTTGGCGAAGAAAATTTTTAACAGTTACAAAATAAATATTCTGCCGACTGACGTTTATTTTACAATTGTTGGAAGTTTTCATTACTGAGATGTAACTATTCTTCAAGATATTTTAAGGCTTAAATTTATTTTGCTTTAGATGCTTTGTTATAGCCAATAATAATAGAGCATCTGAAAATCAATTTAAAAAGGCTTTAATATAAGACCTGACTATGAATACGGACATAAAAGTATAATCCGATCAGCACAAAGCGTTTAACTTTTATTGAGCGTGATTGTTGAATCACAATTGAAGTACAATATATAGCAATTATTTTATCTCATTTTTTTCATTATTGTAACCGAATTTCTCTCAAAACCGCAAGTGTATTTTATCGTTTCCGAAATAATTTTAATGCTAGATTGATCAAGTAATTCTCAAGTGTTTATTAAGATAAAAGCAGTCGAAAATATATTTACTATTGCAATTATCTAAATTATTTAATTGCAAAATTTATAAATTGTCTTTTATATATAACATACCATATCATATATCATATAATAACAAATAATTAAGAGGGCGAGAGAAATGTATATATTTATTCGAAAAAAAGATATGATTCTTTGTTGGTTTGAACTCAAAGTATAATATAAAATACATATATGAAATAAAAAATCTCTTGTTATATATAGTTTGTATGATATACATGTCTGATAAAATCGTTCGTCACATTTAATCTCGTTTCGAAACTTTAAAAGATTGATTGATATGGATCATTACATAATATAATTTATGTGATACATATGATTATAGATGATCACGTGTTAATTGTTATAACACAATACACGATATGTTGCATTGTGTTAAAGTTTCCTGAATTTATGCGAACACGCGAGAATGCAAGAAAAAATCATATTAATTGATTCGAAGCGAAGTTATCTTTTTTTAAACTATTATTTACAGAGAAAGATCCAGAATGTATCTCGCAAATTTTGAAAAATTTGATATTAAGATATAGAGTTTGATATCGTGAAACGTAACATTTAATTGTCAATGGATCAAAGGATTGAAATTACAAAATTTTAAAATTTGAAATAGCCGCACGCGTAATAAATATTATAGTAAACGGCCGGTCATTTTTGAGACCGACTAGGTGCAGATATCTTATTTTTATTATTTCCCTTAATGTTTCTTTTTGTGTTCATAATTTATGATATGATGATTCTGCAAATATTTAAAAAAATTGATTTTCTAGTAAGAACTATGAACCTTCGTCGTAAAAAATAGAAGATAAATTATTTAAAAAGCTTAAAATGTACGTTAGTCTTCTTATAATAAAATATGTATTGTTTAATTTAATGAAAACTATGAATTTTTCTGTAATAATAAAGTTTATAATTTTCACAAAAATAAATTTTTTGAAATATCTTCTAATTTGCAAAATCATAACATAAATTATGAATGCCAGAAGTAATAGACATTGAGGAAAATGATAAAAAAAAATATCGCCTAGCTGATTTTAAACACGCTAAAATTGGCCATTTACTATGATATCCGTCATGCGTGCGATTATTTTAAATTTTAAAATTTTGTAACTTCAATTCTTTAACTCATTGGCATTTAAATGTTACATATTATACTTTACGACTCAAACTCTTTATCTTAATACATATCAAATTTTCCAAATCCGCGAGATACATACCTGACATACTCTCCCTTTGTTAGTATACTAACAAATAGATCAAGTCTTAAAGATAGGAGAAGAGTTTTATTTTAAAACAATCATTAAATTGTTTTAAAGGGTTTTTCTCAAAATATCTTATAACAAATCATGGCACAAATACCTGCTTTATCACTCGTAAATTCACGTTCTTTCGTGTTTATCACAAATCTTTGTTTTTCCCGTGTCAAGTATCTCCTCCAGTCATCATGATTCAACACAAGTATAACACAATGACGATGTCATTATCTTTTTTATCATATAAAATTAGTGTGACTAATACATGTAAATTATTTCCCTTCAAAATGCGAATTATTGCATGTCCTTTATTCCGCTCACATATTAATACGCCACGCTCGCACACCGTGTTTATATACACGCAAGAGAAAAATTAAATCGGTTAATGGAATATCTCAATGGAGAACAAACTTCCTCGCATTCCAATATCTTTGTCCATAATGAGAGGGCGTTACGCACCAATTGAACTTCGATCTGACACTGCAGCAAAATCGTCACAGTGAGAATAGTCGTCGTTCTTTCAAGCAAGCTCATCAAATAATTACAACAAGTAGCCCGCGCGTATATTCGAGTATATGGGGGATGCGCGGATAAAACTATTACACACTATTGTACACTACGTAGGCGTGTATCCTGTCACCGGCGGAATCATCGAATTACCGACCGCTACAGGGGAAATATCAGTAACCAAATTGTTACATTATCAATTATTGACAAATTATTGCTATTGTAAAAGGCAATAACCGTGATATCTCTATGAAAGTTACGTCGTCGATTTTGGAAAGAATTATTGTCGAACTTGATATGACATACGCGTCACGATGTGTATTAGTCACCCTAGTAAGCTGCAGCCTCCCCGTTCCACTACCCGTATCGATTCTCTCGTTGAGGACCGACGGTTCATGACGAATTCGGGAGCGGAACACTTCAATTGGAATAATATGAGAGTCTGCAGTCGGGAACGAATGTCTCCTCCCCGAGCATTATCTCGCGACTAGTAGAAATGATTTAGGCTGATATAGTTAGAGTCCGAACCAAGTGTATCACCCCTCCGCTGCTATGAACGTGCGCTCCACAAATGAAATACATTTCCGACGCATGCGTAAGGCCGATGACAATAGTGAGGATGAAGTGACAAAAAGTCGTGTTGTCGCTTTTTCCTCTGCAAGCTAAAATCCGCAGAGATAACTCGACGATAAATACCGTAATGATTTATAATTGCAGATTGCCGATGCATCCGTTGAGAGGTACATAGACGTTCAACCCGTCACAAAACGGCTTTTATTGTCAGTTAAAATTGTACAATAATGTAACACTGCTAAATCTCGCACGCGTCTACATCATAATTGTATCGTATATTGCAGCTAATATCTTGGAAAACTACATGGATGCGAGATCATTATTTGTTATTTCACAATTAAGTATACATGATAATGCGAAATGTGCTGTTTGTTTGGCAACATTAGTCGACGGGCGCAATGTTCAACTTCTTCGCCTCCTCCAAAAGCTTTTCTACCATGGCACGCCATTCCTCAGGGCGGTTCTCAGTGTACCATATGACTATCTTTTCCACATTCTTTTTTTGAGTTTCTGTACATTTTCGACATTTTGTTGCAAACGCTTCAGCGGCATGCTCTGCAAAATAGAAATTCTCAGATATTTTTAATGATGTACATATACGGGATATCTTGAAATTTGCGAATTAAAATATCACAGCAAGAAAGTTTTTGAAATAAATTAAATAAAAAAGTTATGTGCATATTTTTATTTCAAGCAGTAGGTTCTGAGATAAATCCTTATTGTTATTCTTATTTTATAAACTATCGCTTAAAATAAAAATTTACAAGTAAACTTTTTTACTTACAAATTTTTTTAAACTTTCTTATTGTTATATTTTGATTTGCGAATTTCCGGACACCCTATATATATATTTTCTGAAAATCGTGCGAAATAATAAAAAGTAATTTTCTACTACATAAATATTCTTTTGTCGTAATATTTTGTTATAACAATTATATTATATTATCTATTGCAAATCTTTTAGTAGATGTTTTGAGAAAATAAAAAATGTATTGAGAAATACTTATATACGCACGAACAAAAAATTAAAATAAATATTATTATATATAATTGAATTAGAGATTATCCGTCTTAATCTTAATAACATTTTTGTTATATACTTTATACACAGTGTTAAAATATACCTAGATACATAGGTATAAATACCTAAATCGAAATTTTTCTATATTTAGACAGTACTACGTACGGTATGACATTTTCATTAAGGTAAGTAAAGGATTAAATAAAAAATAAATATATTTTTGTCCACATTAATATAATAATTTAAAATAGTTATTAGAATATTAATACTTTTAATACAATTTCTTTTATTATTAAATAAAAATTGTATTTATCGTTTACAAAATTAAATTCATACGAAATAATAAAATATCATACGTTTGAAGAATTTCTGATCTTCTGTCATGCACGGGCCAGTATCCATGAAGCAATTGTAATACTGATTTCGAAGCTCATCATTCGGCAAGATATCATCGGGATTGATGTGATCCCACTCGTCTGAATACAACTCTTCGGCAACAACAGCCGCCAAAACGACCAGGATGGCCAATAAACAGAAATTCGATCTATCCATAATTTTATCGCTGTTCGTTAGGAATTCGTGCCTCACGAAACTGAGTATTTTATTCAGCTGGATACATCTTTTATAGTTTACACTTACCCTTCACCGTTTCTTACGTAAATACTACTTTAAGTAAATAGTCGTTACACGTCGAATCAGTTGTAATCACATGTGTTTCAGGCAGATAGAATGGACAGAAGGATTAATCTAGGAAGAATTAATTAATAAGCTCGCAAAACAACGAGATACTACACGAGTATTCGATTATTTCGCTCCTGTAAGATGGTCATTACAGTAGCTTGCAAATTCGATGTTGGTTTAGCTGTCTCCTGGAAATCAAGAATTCTCAACAAGCTGCAATAAAAATTGTTAGTTTTAAGCTGCTCAAATACTGTAATATAGTTTGTCCTAGCTTGTGACAATGCCACGCGTAATCGTACCTTTTGTTCTTGCGCTGTGGAATCAGTATTCGGGAACAATGCGGAACGAGCATATTTTCTGTATAATTTGTCGTCTGCGACAAATTAAGTGGTTTCCTTTAACGAGTGACATAATTAGTAATCAGGAGATTATTAATTATCCTGAGATATGTTTTTTTTAATTTGAGACATGATCTATGCTATGGTAAATTGGAATAAATGCGAGATGCTTCTAAAAATCTCTAATAATTTTAGAACTCTGGAGAGAATTTTTAGAAATGGAAATCATTTTAATACCTCGTACCGGAAATATATTCAAAAAATTTCTTTGAACAATATATATATTATATTATATTATTATATCTTACTAAAAATATATATTTATGAAATATATACGTTACATTATATCTCCTACAGCATGAAGTATTGCAATATTTCAATAGTGGGCAATATTACAAAAATTGCAGCATTATTAAAATTTTAATATTTTATTGGAAATATTACCAATATTGCAAAATATTGTAATTTTAATATTTTGTAGAAAATATTGCAATATATTGTTGTAATATTACAATTCAGTAAATAAGTACGCAATCTTGTCATGAGAGGGGTACACTTCTTCTAAATAGAAACATATAGAAATCCTACAATAGAAGATATATATCGAGTTAGCAAATCGAGTTAGCGAGTATAGATTTCCAACCTTTTTTGGATGCGCTTTCTAGATCTCCGAATATTTTTTTATTACAACTTTATTGTATGTATTTTGGAATATAATGCTAAACAATAATATGTTAGCAATTAATAAAACTGGAATAATTATTGAAATATTGCATCAATAAGCGCGAAATATTGTAGCAATAAGTATGCAATATTTCCTTAAATATTATATAAGAATATTGCTACAATATTGTGCAGCAATGTTTTATAAAATTATATAAATAATTATATTGCTATCTCAAAATAATATTACTGCAATATTTCGCGCTGTAGGGGATTATTTATGTCTTATTAAAAATATAAAAAGCATAAATTTAAGAAATATATATATATATATATGTATTACATTATATTATTATATCTTACTAAAAATATAAATTTATACATTCCTATTTTATGTATTTTAATCTCAAAGTATGTTAACATTTTTACAATTATATTCTATAAATTAAATACAAATGTATACACCAGCATACGCAAATTCATAATTTAGATTATGAGAGTATTATGACTATTCCATGTAGAACATATATCATCTGGGGGACATCATGATAACCTTCACATATAGATATCGATTCATGTGACATTCCTCGAACGAGATGTCTACTGTGTATATTGTGTATGCTAATGACACCAATTATCATTGTTTAATAATATTTGTACAGGATGATCAAATACAGGATAACAAATTGAACGTTTTTTGTTAGGGATTATGTAATAATTATTATTATCATTATCTCCAGCAGTTTTCTGAAACGACATATCTAAAACAAACTCATCAAAAATTAGAAGTTTCCAAAGAAAATTTTTTTTAGAATTTTTTATATAATTTGTCAGAATTTTTATATCTCAGATAGCGAGTTATATAGAATCATTTTACATCAAAATAAACATTTATGCTAACATTTTGACATCAAATGACAATAATGATGACAATAATAATGGCGGTATAATAATTTGCTACCTAGTTGGAATAAATTTCGTAATTTTTCAGTATTCCTGTAGTAAAAAACAAATGTTTTGAATCAAATTTTTTTTACAAATGAGAACATTTTTTTAGTAATGCTGAGAGAAAGTCTACATTTTCTGAAAACATGTAAATTTTTAAATATATTCTAGGATTTATACAATCTGAAGAAATTTATAAAACATTTTTCAGAAATCTTTTTAAATTATATTAAATTTTTATAAAATTCTTTATATTTATAAAATATGATACATTTCTTAAAAATATTATGAGATATTTGAATTTTTCCCTTATATTGTTCATTTTTACAAAGCAGTATCATCGTTGATCCCTTGTCATTGATATGAGCATTTCAATTCATGCTCTGGCGAAAATTAAGTCGAGTATAAGAAAAGACGATATAGAAGTGTAAACGAATCTTCTAAAAGAGGAAAATTGACATAATGAAACATAAAAAAAATATAAAAGCTTCTTAAAAAGAAAGATCTGATTAATTCTGATAATTATTAATTGGATTTATATGTATATAGATATATTTATTATTATGCGTGCGTGCGTCACAGATCTATATTAACTGAATACCATACAGGAACAAAAAATGAAATTATTGGGTCTGTTCGCGTTGTTTAAAATTCCTAAACATTTTTTAACTAAAAATGAGATAGATAGATATTTGGGCGTTGAAAAGAGAAAAAGCGAAAATGCTAAGTGCAAAAAATGCAAGCAACGCGAACAGGATCAATGTAAAAATTTAGAGTAATCCGTATATTTTCATTATTTCTCCAAGAAGCCTAATTTAAAAAGAAAAAAAAGTGGGAAATTACTTTGAGAATGAGCAAATCATCTTCGCAATGTATAT